TGCCCAAGCTCAGGGCTGCGTCTTGCGAAGGAGAGGGGAGAGGTGCAGCCCCGCGATGTGCGCTGACCGTCGGCTCATCCTCGTCCCTTCACTTCTGCTGCTGTGGGGGCCACTGCACCGGCTGCTTGATCTGCTGCTGCTGCTGGCAGGGAGCGGGGGCCACCGGCACCTGCCCGGGCACAGTGACCACGGGGCACTGGGGAGGAAGGACCACCACCGGCGTCACATCCTGCACGGCGCTCACTTCGTGGCAGATGACCTCCTCGGAGCCATGGCAGGATCTCTCCTTGTCGTGGCAGGGGGGGGTTCTCGGTGCTGTGGCAGCCTCTGTCTCCACGGGAGCACATTTTTTGGTCGGTGCGGTGAACCCTGGGAAGGAGAGAGCTTTGTTGTTAGATGCGTGAAAGGCAGCGTGCTTTCCTCACTCTGCTTTGTGTTCAGATTTCCTGGATGTGTTTATGAGCCTGCTGGGGCTTGGTAGGACTTGCCTGTCTGTCTGTCCCATTTCCCTGGCTTGGGGCTTCGTTCCAGCAGTGCCGCATCAGCCCACATCATCTGAACATCCTCACGAGCCCCCCCCAGCAGCCCTGATCTCCATTTCTGCTGGGCTCTGTGAGCCATTTTCCTGCTCTCCCTTGCTTCATCCCACAAGCGCTCGTGCAAGACACCCTGGGATTATCTCAGGGCTGTGTAACGGAGGAGCAGATGCGCCGTGGGCTGTTGGTTTATGCTGCACTGACAAGAGGCATCTTGACAAGGGTCTGAAAAACTTGCAGCCTTGAGGGGCCCTGGCACAGCCAATGAATTTACAGCCAAGAGCCTTGGCAAAATACACTTTCAAAGCCAGGTGCTCAAAATGAAGAGACTCCTGTGCCTTCCTCCCTCCTTGTGTCCTCTGCTCCCTCCATGCCCTGCCACCCTTGGCTGCACAGTGCTCAATTTCCTGAGGCATGAGGAGAATCCTATGTGCACATTTAAACCCCTTCTGAGGAGAGCTGAGATTTTAAGGAGGTAGAAGGCATCCAGGATGTGTCCAGCTGAGCTGAAGGCTCTTTATGCTACTCCTTCCTTTCATAGTTTAAATCTGCCTTCTCAGTTCTTTCCTAGATTTCTTCAAGGACAGCTTAATCCTTTTAGCTCCTGAAGATTTAAATTTTCCAAAGGAGCTTAGTAAAGGAGTCAGGCTCAGAAGTACAATTAAAATTCCCAGCTTAAACCCAAGGTTTCTTATGAAAGATCAGCCTGCCGTCTCCCATTCATTTCTGAATCCCATTCTTTACTCTTTTATTTCCAGTTTCTCCTTTGAAAACTAGGAATCCTGAGCACTGAAGTAGTCCAACTACATCTACATGTGATAAGAACAATAAATTTTGCTTCTTAGCATATGCAGTCTTGATATCAATTTTGATAGCGCAAAATTGCCCCAGCCACCGAGGCAAGAACTTGGCTCTCAATAATCCCAGCACCTGCAGACAGACCCGGCTCTGTAAGAGCATAGCTCAGCTCAATTCTGCAAATTTTCATAGGAAAGACATGTTAGCGGTGTAGTAGCAGCTTACCTTGTCTGTGAAGGCTCTGAAGAAGGAGTGGAGCTGAGTGAATGAATTGCTCTCCTATCCGAGAACTTTTATACGGTTCCTAACTCCCTTCCTGAAAATGCAATAAACCCCTGAGGAAAAATGACCATATATTTACAAAACAGCCACACCTCTAATTATCCACCACCTTCAAAAGCTTATTCAACCCGGTTTCTTTGATTGACTTGTCATACGGTAGATCGTCTTCCTTGTGTTACACAGCTTTAATTGCCACCCTGCCCCACACAGGTTGTAATGCACGAAGAGTGAAAACCGTGTGGGTGGCTTGACTGTCTCACCGTCATGCCAGGATGAGTTTTATATTGCAAAACGGATGGCAAAGGTGGCACTTTTTTGGGTTTCTATCCTCCTGAAACCTCTCACCCAAAGTCTGGCAGGGAGGAGAGGTCACGATGCCCGGTCACCTCTAACTGCTCTTGGCAGGACCGGGGTTTTGCACAGTGGACAAGAGCCACCACTTTCAGATTGTCGACATAAAAAATGGCAAGTTTTTAGAATGTCCTCATCACATGTCCTCTGAAAGCATCTTTAAAGTTGTCTTCATCCTGTAAAACATCTGCAGGTGCCAGAAGCTTAGCAGCCGAGGGTACCCTCTCGATCTCCTCTCTCTGACAGTGTTATTTCCCAGCACAATAAAACCAGGATAATGAAGCCTGTGGCCACTGTGGCAGGCTCCAGGAACTATGACTGGAAAGTGACCTGTCAAAGCCAGGTAGCAATACAGGCCGCTTTTGGAAGTCTTGGCTTATACTTGTGAATACCCCCAAAAATGTGATGTGATTTCTCTACCTGTGTCCATCTACTTCACATCTGATTTTATAGCCATTTTGCTGATATTGACATAGGTACCACTAATTTTCATTTCACTGACATTTTTCCTGGCTAATACCAAAAAGCCCCGAACAGAGCTGCTCTTTTAAAATGTCTGTTTTTCTAATATTTTAATTTTCTTTTTTAATTGCCTGACTCCGAAGTAGCCATTCTCCGTGATGGGAAATGCATGCCTACAGAAGTCGCTTGGGCAAAACTTGCATTCATGAGTAAGCTGTGAGTAAAGTGCTAGCTCAGAGACCACGTACCCAAGCTCACCGTGCATCTCGAGCTCACCCAGCTCTTCCCTGGGGCGAGACGGGTGCAACCTGGGTGCAAAGCAGCGGACTGCTGCAAGCCTGGGGCGCTCGCCTGGCCCTGGTGCAATCGGCTGTGCAACCGTGGCTTTGCAACAGCCCCGGTTTCTCCTTTTCCCTCGCATTAGCAGCTTGACCATGCAATTTCAGCAGGGATTACTCTGTGTTTTTAACAATTTTGTGTCTTAACTCCCTCTGCAAACATGGGAGTCACAAGGTTTTGTTGGGCAGAGATTGACTGAACATCTGAAGCAGAGGGGTGGCTCCCACTCGCTATCTCTAAAATAATTTCTTTAGTTTCTGTCCAGAGGCGCCAGTTAGTGACTTTCATCAAGAAGCCAGATTCGTGTTTACCGTTCAGCCTGCCTGTTTACAAACAGCCGAAGCAGAGGGGCCACGGCTTTTGCAAGCACCGACACGCTCGTGGACGAGAGTCCTGCATTATCGCAGTTCGTCAGCCTCGAAGGATGACTCGTTCCTCCCCAGTTGCACAATGAGCGGGGAGGAAATCTGCATGTGCAAATGCACATAGGTATGTAAAAATCCAGCCTCCTCCTGCTCCCAGCCTGATACTGCAGCCGCTCCAGTGTGCAGAGAAAGGCACTGGGATGCAGCCCCAGCATCAAGCTCTGGATGCAAGAACATCCTCCTTCTCCACTGGGTCTATTATAATGTTATTTAATATAGCTTGGTTAACATCTAAGCTTGTAGAGTGTTTTTTGAGACAAGCCTCAAAGAACCAGCAAGGTGGGACAGCGAATATAAAATTTACTTTTAAAGTGTTTTTTTTTCCTTTTTATACTGAAATTTTGGGATGGTTTTGGTCAGTTAATTGAATAAGCGATAAGTTTTTGAATACTCCAGACTCTGATCGGTTTTCTGGAAGTCTCTTGGAAGTTGTTTGAGCTTTCTGAGTTTTTTTTGCTACCTTTGATGCTATCATACGAAGCAGGGAAAATAACAGAAATCAATAATGAAGTGGTAGATTTTAGAAATATTAGTAGATGCAAATAAATGATAATGCTGTCTAATTTTAGAATGGAATTTAATATGGCTGGTGACAAAACCTTGTATAACGTTCCCTGCACCACAGCCCTCCCATCTTACAACATTTTACAGTATGAAAGATACCTGTTGTGGCACCAAACACAGGGCTAGAGCTCAGAGGATTTGGGTTTTTGTAAGTTTTTACAAACATTAGGGCAAAGTTTTCTGGATTTTTATTGAGCTGAAAGGGTCAAAACCCCACAGGTGGGTGAAAACAGCAATGGTAAAAATATTTTACAGTGTGAGTTTATGCTCCTTTGTCTCCCTTTTAAATAGGCACTGATCTATGGGTGGGTTTTTTTCCCCTCTTTACCAGTATTTGGAGGAGTCAAAAAACCCCAGAGAACAGTCTCAAAATGCTAAGTGTTTGGCAAACACCACGTAACAACCGGCACAGGATGTTCAACCATCCCCTGCGCTGTCCTGTCAGCACAGCACAGAGGAAGCGTCTTCTCCCTGTGTCTAATTTAGGGCCTGATCCTATCAAAAAATGTCATGAAGCAGGTTACTGCGAAGAAGCAAACGAGTTTGTTCGAGTTGCCTCATGCTCCTGGTGCAAGCATAAGGTTTATGTGCTCCGGCTTACGACATCACCTGCAATCTCGCTGGGACAGGAGCCTGGCGTGTAATTGTTTCCAAGTAAACAACTTTGCACTCCCAAGGTCACGCTGTAAATAATAATCAGTCGGAAATCACCTGGGAGTTTTGCATATCTCCTTAACGTATCTCGCAGAGTCTAGCAGGTGGAATGCAGGGGGGCTCGGCAGGGCAGAGAATTTCCAGTTGATGGGAACAGCATGGGGGAAGATCTGACTTCAGCAAGGGCAAAATTAAGAACCTTCTCTTGCTGTTGAAAATGATGTATTTTAATTCTATTAAAATACATATTACTTTTGAGGATGGTTGTAAAATATATATAAAAAATGTTGGAAGGTAAATCTTGTGTTGCGAAGTAGACTCCTTGGGTATCTATCTGTGTTTTGAGTGAAGGAGCCAGAAATTAAAGAAATCGATACTTGAATTTCCCACAGACTATGAAGTTTTATTTTCCAACCCATGAGCAGAAGGAGATGGAGAGAAGAATCTTTTCCCGTCGCCAAAGCACAAATCATTTTTCCCAGTGGTGCTCTCAGCAGCACTACTACACTAGCACAGCCCAACACGAGGAATGCAAAGCTCCCTGACCATAATGGCACTTTTACTTGAGCAGGGGTGGCTGATGGGTCAGTCACTTCTTCTGGCTGGGGGGCCAGTGGCTGGTCTGCTTGCTCTGGTGGGCCTCGATGTTGGGAATGACCACGGGGCATTTCTTCTGCATGGTCTGGGAGGACCCACCGCCTCCTGAGCTGAGGTCTGGGCTTGAGCATCCCCTGACGCCATAGCCCAATCCTCCACTATGGTACCCTGATCTACCACCGCCCCCACCTGTTGTTAAGGCCTTTTCTCTCGGTAATGAATCGTATCCGTATCCCAAGCCTCCTCCCGCCGTGATGCCCAATTTCCCACTGTGGCAGCTGGATCCTCCACCACCCCCTGAGCTGCCAATGATGTTCTGGCCTGAGTCCTCACTGCCACATCCTATTCCTCCCCCAGTGCCGTAGACGGGGAGTGTTCCCCCCGCAGTTCCCCAGCCAGATGTCCCCCCACTTTCAGCACTGGCTATTACAACAGATCCATCACCGCCACATCTGTAACCCCCTGCAATGCCGTAGGTGGATGATGTTGGCATGGGCTGGCAGGATGAAGCTCCCCGGCTGTAGATGACTGAGCCGTCCCCACCACAGAAGAAGGAGCCATGTCCCTCGAGGCTTGAGAAGCCTCCACTGTTGCTGCAGCACCCTCTGTGGTGTGAGGAGATGTCATTGCTGTAGCCCCCGTTCCGCCGGGCACATCTCCTTTGGAGACAATGATAAATCTGAAAGAGAAAAAAAAAAAACCCACCCAAACCTCCACCATTTTGCTTCATTTTGCACCATGGCAGGTGGGGAGGTTTCAGGCGGTGCGGTCAGAAAAGCTTTGCCAGGGCCTCGGGCAATGCCAGGCTTTGAAATTGAGTACTGCCCAGCTGTTCTTCAAATGCAAGAGTATTTTGACTCTTACTGGGATAGCTTTTCTCTTTCTTATCTCCAGGGTGTATTTCCAGAGAATCAAAATCTGAACTATATCCTTTTAACATCTAATAACAGCCATGGTTTTCCCCACTCATCTTCATGACCATAACTGCAGAGATGTAAAAATAGCAAGGATTATCCTCGCTTCTGTTTTTAAACTGTTGCAAGAGCAGTGGATCAAAATTTCCATGCAAGATGAGGTTGCTGGCTGTATTATTGCCATCGTTGCGTAGCATCCCCAAAGGTCTTTTACATAAGGTAACTGGCACAGCCATAGAGGTGTGTAACCATTATGAAGTACAGCATAGGCTTGTTATTAAATAATATAAAAAATGTGTCCCACACATTGCAAACATGTTGAAAACTGCAAAGACTATGCAGTCACCACATGCCGGTCCCACTACAGATGCATCTGGCTTTTTAGCCTGCTCAGCCCCATGTCTCCCAGTCCGGTGACTTGACTTCACCTTGCTTCCTAGTGATCTGATCCACACCGTAGCAAGAAACCGTACAGATCCCGAGAACTTTGCTATGCATGCTCAGGCAGCACGGGTACTGCTGCAAGCATGTGTCAAGATCTCAAATGAAGCTGTCTCCCATAAATATGAAAAATAATAAAGTCTCAGAAAAGAGCTGACTTACCCTCCTCAGCCATTGGAAACACATTTAGAAGATAAAAGTCGACTGAATGAAGAGCTTTAACAGACAGGAACTTTTATATGGCGTTTAGCATATATGGGAAGTGAGACACCCTAAGGAATGGCAAGGATTTATTTACCAAACTCTGATTTCAGTGTTTGCTTTGACTCATAACATCTGATCGATATCTTTCCTTCACACTGCTTGTTGTGTTACATGCAGCAGTAATTGCTACTTCTGCTTAATGATGCTATTCCTGTGCTCCTGCCCTGAGCTATGTAGGACCTCTTCAGCCCCCCAGTGAGGTGGCAACGCTGGAGGAGACCAGGGCAGGTGGGTGGGAGAGTGGGTGTAGCAAAATGCTGAGCAAGACGATTACCAAGAGTGGGACAGAGGGTGGTGGTGACCATGTCCTGCTCAGGGAAGGGACAGAGAGGTTGTGGTTCAGCGGTGTGGCAGTGCTCATGGCTTGGGGCATCGCTGGAGGGGTGGGTGTGATCAGCGAGTACCCGGGAGAGCGGAAGGCAAATGCTCAGAAAGCGTCTGGTGGTCAAACAGCACGTTGATCCCTCCAGCATCTCACTGGTGGCTCCAGTGGGTGATTTTCTGAAGAAGACATTCGCATTGGAACCAGAAGCTAGTCAAAAGTGAAGTGCCTGGCTCAGGTATTTTGAAGGGTGCTAGAGATGCTCTGAGAAAGCTTAGGGGTCCTGGAGAGAATTGTGGAGGTGTGAAAATCCTGATGCTTAAACCCACTGTGGCTGGATTACTCCTCTCATGAAGGATTATGCCTCCAGATGCCTTCCCTCTGCATTTTCGTATGCTGTGTCCTTTCTCTGGCTTCGAAAGAGCACCAAGCACCAGGAACTCCAGGGAGACTGATCTGGAGGACTGCAGGGGATACATGCTGCGGCCATGGTGGTGGTGTTGCCTGGCATAATGTCCGCGCTGCAGCCTGTTGTCCTCCAGATCGGCCCCGCAGCACGGCTCTTGCAGGCTGGACTAGGTTTGTTCAGCTCTGAGCAATTTTGCCGTGGGGACAGTGAGTCCCAGCTTTGGCAAAAGGCCACGTCTACCAGGCAGAAAGCAGTGCACAGGGGTGGTGGTGATGCCCTCGCATTTCAAAGCAGATTTCAAAAGCTTGGGCAAGGAGGGATTTAAGGCCTGGAAGCATGATATATTGAGCTGCCTGAGGGACTTGTGGCTGGTTTTATTTCCTTCTGCCTGGCCCAGGGCTGATTTGGCTGACTCAGTGTGTGAGGCTTACCCTCTGAGGTTTGCAAAGCTGGGAGGGAAGGAGGAGGATGGGAAGGACATGGACATTGGCATGGTGTTGTTGGCCACCCTGAGCAGCAACAGCTGCTATTGAGGGTCAGTCCCAGTCCCTGCTCTTCAGGACTGAGCCTAATGGATTTGGTCATGTCTTCCAGCACCACTTCATTGCTCCACAGACATGGTCATTGGGTGCTGGTACCTCAGAGGACTTCAGAGCTATGAGCTGGGATGGCTGCATCATGCATAGGCACCAAAGGGATGTTGGGTGCTGTGGTTGCTTGATGTTTTATCTGTTGTTACTCTGTCATGGAGCCCATGGGGGAAAACGAAGGTGCTATAAACTGAATGGCTTAAGAGATGCATCTACAGCAATGCACTATTGAACCCATCATCTTCTTTACAGAAAGGAGGAGTGAAATGCCTCTTCAGATAGATTTCCAGCTTCCAAGACCGTACGATGCTGGTTGAGAAAAAAAAGAAAAAACCCACACGCAGAAAAAAAGGCAGCTTTGAGATATTATTACTTTTATTAGATGGAAAAAATGCTTTTTGGAAAAGCAGCAGAGCCTTATCAAAGGCATCCCAACACCAGCAGCAGGGCACAAGGCTTTTAATCCTGGAATTCTCAGCACAGGGATGCAGCATCAAGGGAAGGGAAGAGGACACGCTGGGAAGAAACAGGCTAACAGAACCAGGACTGGATGGAAGAGGTGACATGGCAGAGGCAGGGCTGTTCTTGACGAGATCTGGAGCCGCCTGTGACTGTTACTTCTGGTGGCTGGGGGACCAGTGG